ATGCTTTCCGGGTTTCGGTAAATTCGCCAGAACTATCCCATCATTCACACACCAAACAGATTTGGTTCGAGTAGTTTAGGAGTCCAGTGTGATCGCACACGTGTCCTCCATGGCGTCGAMCGTCGCTCATCCTGCAGTGAAAGTCTCAAACCAGTCGGTTGAAAAGGGAAATATTGTTGAACGGATAACTCATTGAAAAAACTTTTAGCAGTACATGTGATGAAGGAAACAATTCATTACTAGTCAGTTGGATATTTACAGTGAAGAAAGGAGGGGTGGGGGCCAAGAAGATAAATACTCTATAGGCTGTAAACGTGCAAATAATTATTACCGTCATCATGATATTTAAAATGTTGCATTTGTTTTTATTATTGATTAATGATTACCTTTGYGAGAATCAAAATATTATACATAATACATATTGTATATTAGCATCGGTATCGCTGGTCAGTGGTTACACCGTGTCTAAGGTACAAGGTTAGGTATAGAGCACATTTAATGGTCTCACCTCTAAGAATATTATCTATTAGGGATGCCACATAAGATAATCACCGTGAATCGATCGACTTCTAAATGTTATAATTTATAATAGGTGTTTTGCGCATATTATGAAATCGTCATGACGTCACGAAAAAAAAAACTCGCATAGATTAACGTGTAATTGACCGCTTTAGGCAGCACCATTTATTAAATGTTTATGTTTTATATAAAAATGTTATTTAAATATTTTTATGGTTGCAATAATATTATTAACAATTTACTATGGTTATAACAGATAATATTGTTATGTTAGGCCAATAATAGACGATAAACTAAAAATCACTTTTTATTATGCGTAAAATTAAAATAACACTGTGCACGAAACTTTTGACTTATTCATTAGTTTTTTTAATGCCTGTCTATTTTATTTATATGTCGCTTATATAGAATTTTATGAGGTAAAGTACAACGTATAAAGATAGTATTTGAGCAAAGTGACAAAAAGAAACCTAAAATACACAATTTTCTTGGGTTGTTGAACATATTTTTAGACAAAATTAGGTTAATAGTGATTCATTAGAATTTCAACATTAAGTATTAAATTCCGAAACTGTTTAGTATCATACCATATTGTGAAATTCAGAATTAGTTCCATAGTCAAAATT